ATTTTACACGGGCTCTATGCCCCCGCCAAGTTTGGTGAGTTTTTGAATATGATAAAGCCCCCAAAAAGGCGATTCATTTGCACAAGAACTATAATAAACAGTACAAAAACAATAGGCCTTCGCAGCGCTTAGCTGCTCGGGCCTAAATATGTGTAAAATGTTGTGACATTGCCTCATCCAACATTAACAAAAATATAAAAAAGGAATAGGTATATGGTTAATAACATATAAATATGCAAATTAACCTCCACCTTCATTCAACCCTTACAGACCTTCAAAACTGTAAAATGCTTTCAGCACAGTGCTTTCCATAACATTACCAAGCATCATATCAGCCGCCCACTGCTGACAGCTAAAACTACACTGCATCATCCCTAAGAAGACATAACGAGAGATAGAATGATGGTGGAAGGAGACAGAAATAGACAACAAGAGAAAAAAAAACAGGGGAAGGAGGAAAAATAATGGGGCAGAGAATGATTGGGGGAGTTCAGAATGCAAGAAATAAATTTATAGCAACTAAGCCAATAATAAAAAAAAAAGAAATCCAGCTGCCTTTGTGTTATTCCTCAGACATCTGCACATTGTGAGTGAGAGTGCCGAGCCTTAAACACTTTTAAATTGAACTCACTTGCTAAATATTTTAGCGATGAGCTCTCTTCCTTCTGCTGCAGTCTGCAGCTGAGCCCCTCTTCCCTCTGCAGTGCTTGAGCCACACTGCAGCTTTGACAGGTTGKGTGGCCAGGAGGAATAAAAAGACTGACTTGGCTGCTTTAAGGTCATGTTGTCCTGTTGGGATGTTGTTTGTTTATTTTCTTATAGGATGAGGGATGACTCGATGTGACATGTTATTATATAATAAAATGCCTTAAAAACATAGGAAATTGTCATRATTTATTCATAATGTATATGAACATGAACATGTGAACATTAGAGTTATGACCTAAATACAGTGAGATAATATGCCTAAACAACTAATCAGAAAAGACAGCAGATGAGAGCAGGATTAGACCAAATGAGACACAATAGGGCATAATAAGGGTGGAAACCTTTCTCTTGGAATGCACAACAATGTTAAAATRAAGGTGGCAAAAATAAGCAAAAAATGTTTTGCTGCTTTTTTTCCCCACCAGATGCCTATACTAGAGCAGAGGTGGTGTATGTGTGGACCAGAGGGGCTGCTCAGTCTGTGGTGGTGGCAGAGGATGGCTCCAGGTTAAACCAGTATGATCTGATGGGACAGAGTGTGGATTCTGGTGTGGTACAGTCAAGCACAGGTCAGTTTTTTTTTCTTTTTAACTCGCTTATGGTTGCTTCTGGTCTTTTTTGCATGTGCAAAATTAACTAAAGAAATTTATGAGTGGCCTGTTTGAAGTGTTGTAACTTGGATTAAWGAATAACGTCATAAATCCATTAATTCAATGTGATTTTGGAAAAATTATCTTGAAGAAAATGTGGAAAAATGGTGTATAAGGTTGTTTCCCTCCAATGCTATACCCTCAAACTAAGATTTCAGTCCATTTTTTATAACTTTTTTATCTTTCATCTTGCAAACAACAGGAGAGTATGTTGTGATGACAACCCACTTTCACCTGAAGAGGAAAATTGGTTACTTTGTGATCCAGACATATCTGCCCTGCATCATGACAGTCATCCTCTCCCAAGTGTCGTTCTGGCTCAACAGAGAGTCTGTCCCTGCCAGAACTGTCTTTGGTGAGTYGTCTACTCTCTTCTCCTCTCAACATCTGTGGCTACAGAAATGAGCCCATCACCAGAAGGTTTTCAGCTATGTTCCTGGGAAATCTTTGTGAAAGATACCATGATGGCACATTAGGCATTCAGTCAAAAAGTATGTGGCAGCTTAAAACCCAGCAACAAACCATGCAGCTGGGAAGTATACAAATATCATGAAAAGTGTGTAAGAGCTGATTTGTAGGATATTTTTTTAATAACTATGTCATAGTTTGTCTATACAAGCCATTTAAACTATTTTTATAGATTTAATGAAATATATTTAGCATGCTCAGGATTTTAAACGATTAGTTATTGAATCCGTTTTCACAACATTCTGATAGCAAATATGTGATGGTTGTGAAAATTGCTTCAATGTGACTTTAAAATGATGTGAAGTCTTGTATACTGGWGTTGTCATAGTTTGGCATTAGTGTGATTCTATAACATTATTCAGTCATTTGTATTATATTGTATGTTATAACAATTTAACATCAAAATATTAGAAWTGTTAAATAAAAAATCCACAAATTACTCTTTATATTTGGCTTTATTTGGTTCATCGGAATGGTGGATAACAGTGTTTCTCAGTTTGAAATCAGTTGTGCCGAACTGTCTATATGCTTCTATGCTCTTTCAGTAGCTGTGGTTAATGTTTTATTAATATGCTTTTACTGTATTTTAT